CCAGCAGGGGCGCCGCATGGTGGGAAGAGGAAGGACGAGGTGGAGGAGGTTATTTCGGGGGAGGAGTTTTTTTTCAAGCAGGATATAGAGCAGGATGTTTGAAGTGATCCTTACTGTGGTCCTGAAATACGTCTTCTTATCCTGCATCCGCGTGCTACACAGAGGCATTTAAGATTATGCATGTGTCGTCTGGTGGAGCCCGGCTCCGATTCATTGGTTACGCAATGGTGTATATTCCTCCTTCTCCTCCTCCTCCTCCTCCTCCTCCTCCTCCTCCTCCCCCAACTTCTCAGTTTAAAGACAAATACCCTGCTACCTGCGGCAAACCCCGCCAGCGCAGCAGCGCAGCAGCACTGCAGCACTGCAGCACTGCAGCGCCCTGTCTGTGCCAGCGCGGTTCCTACTCTCGATGGAGCGCCTTCGAGCTCGTGTGGGTTCTGCTGGGTTTCTGTGAAAGCTTCAGAACCTCCTGTTAGACAGCGAGCAAGCCTTGTAACACTCTGTTTTCATGAAACAGCTGCTGCGCATGAGGCGCAACCTCGCGCCTACTCCAGATTTCGTAATAAAAGGGAGGGGGTCTGGACCCTCCAAGACAAGCCATTTCAGACCTCCCCCGTGGGAGAACCCTCCAAAACATCGTCCCCAGACCCCCCCAGGCCCTCCAAGATAGCCTGGAAGAGACCCCCCCCGAAATGAGACCCCCTCCCTTTTACTACGAAATCTGGAGTAGCGTCCAGGCCATCCGAGCCTGTGCAGAATATTATTGTGCGGCGCCTTCTCGTTTCAGGCGGCATCATTCTGCAAGCTACGCTGCGCCGCCCTCGAGGGAGGCCGGTCGTCGCCGGTCGCCACCCTCTCACCGACCTGCCCTCCTCGCCGCCCTTCCCTCGTCCTCCTGCCCCCTCGTCTTCTTCCGCTTCTTCGTCATCATTTGAAGCTCGCTGAGGGGCAGCGAACGCGATCTGTGTTTTTGGGGCGACGGGGGAGAGGGCAATGCTTGTGTAGGGCAAGAGCAAGCATGAGCAGCCCAATCGTCGGCAAGAGCAAACCTGAAACCAGAGCTTCTCGCGAAGGGCGGCTGGAAGGACTGCTGTTGACCGATCAAGCGCGCCCGCCGAGCGTGCGGGGATCTGGCCCTCGAAACAACGCTGCCCCCCCAGCGACCTTCAAGTCATCATCCTCTTCCATCTTCACCTGGGGCCTCTCCACCATCCTCGTCTTCCTGCCCCCTCGTCCTCTGCCCCCTCGTCTTCCTGCCCCCTCGTCTTCTTCCGCTTCTCCGTCATCATCCTCTTCCATCTTCACCTGGGGCCCCTCCTCCTCCTCCTGCACCTCCTCCTCCTCCTCCTCCTCCTCCTCCTCCTCCTCCTCCATCCTGCCCTCGCCATCCTCGCTCCGCATCGCCCAGAGCCGCGACCGGCCATCCCGGAGCGATTCCACCGCAAGCCCCGTCGTCGCGAGGCCGCGTCCCAGCGACGCTCCGTTTCATTTTCCAGGAGGAGGAGGAGGAGGAGGAGGAGGAGGAGGAGGAGGAGGAGGAGGAGGAGGAGAGGCAGCGGGCGCCGTGCGGGGGGCCGTCTGGCAAAAGGCTGGCCCGACCCCCGCTGGCCTGGCTGGGCACTCTCTGGATCATGGTTATGCCAGAGCAGGTCAGAGTGATTCAAGGCAGCAAAAAATGGGTCTGGATCCTTGCCCCTCAGCCCTGCCCCGGAGGGAGGAAGAGCGACGCCACCACCACCAGGGGTGCCACCACTTGGCGAGGAGGTCCATGGTGTGTGCCTCGCCGCGCGTGGGCGTGTAGGTTAGGTTCGCGTCGTGTCGACCGGCGGCGACCCCGCCGCTGGCGCTCAACGACCCCCGCTGGCCTGGCTGGGCACTCTCTGGATCATGGTTGTGTCAGAGCAGGCCAGAGTGATTCAAGGCAGCAAAAAATGGGTGAAGGATGTGTGAATTCAGAAGGGCTGATCCGCCGGACCACCTACTCCCGGCGGCCTGGTATGTTTCCACACTCGACGCGCAAGATCGGGAGGTAACAAGGAGCATCCTCCATATATATATGTATATATATATATATATATATATATATATATATGTATACATCCCTGGGGGCGGGGCCGGGGGCCCACAAACAGGTGCCCCCACCCCCCATGGCGGGACGGGGGCTTATTTTCCATTTGTTTTAACAGGGTTTCCGCGTCCTGGGCCTCGGAGGCCGCCGCCTCCGACCCCCCATGGGCCAGGAGGGCCTCCAGAGGCTCCCAAGACGGCCCAAGCGGGCCCCGAGTCGCCGAAAGACCGCTCCAGGACGCCCAAGATAGGCCCAAGACGGCCCGAGAGGCGCCCCAAGGCACTCCACGACGCTTCAAGACGCCTCTCCAGAGCGCTTCCAGAGGCCGAAATCGTCAATTTTACGAAGGTTTTCGAACGATTTTGGCCTTCCAGCCTTTTCGGCTGTCCGACGTTCCAAGATGGCTCAATAGGCCCCCAAGAGCGCCCCAAGACGGCCCAAGAGGGCCCCAAGACGGCCCCAGAGTCGCCCAAGACAGCCCAACAGAGCCCCAAGACGGCCCCAAGATGCGCCCAAGAGGGGGACCACGACTCCAAAATTCGACCCTCCCGCTTGAAGAGTGCCCCAGGAGGCCCCAAGGAGCCCCCAAGAGGCCCCAGGAGGCCCCCAACAGGCACCCAGGAGGCCCAAACGAGGCCTACAGAGGCCACAAAACAGCCCCGAGGAGGCCCCACAACGGTCCCAAAACGGCTACCGAGAAGCTGCGAAACTGCCTTCACGACGTCCCCGACAGGCCAACCACGAGATCCAAAGCAACACCCATGAGGCCTCTGACCCACCACCCAGGGCACGGTGGCGGGAGCAGTGACAGCACTTGTGCACAGCATGTTCCGGCGGGAGCCTTCCAGAACACGCTGCAGGAGGAGAAGGAAGATCAGGAGGAGAGAGAGAGCTGGAGTGGGAGGAGGAGGAGGGGGACGAGGAGGAGGAAGAAGCCTCCCAGACAGCTCCAAGATAGCCGAAGAGGCTTCCAAGAGGGCCCTGGGCGGCCCACGAGGGCCCCAAGGCGGTGTCTGAGGCGCCCAAGACGGCCCGAGAGGGCCCCAAGACGGCCCCAAGAGAGGCCCAAGAAGGGAAACACGAACCGAGAATCCGAGCTTTCTACCCCGAGAGGGTCTCCGGAAGTCCCAAGAGGCCCCCAATCGGATCCAAGAGGCCCCCAAGAAGCTCCCAAGAGGGCCGACGAGGTTCCAAGAGATCTCCCAAGGTGGCCCCAAGAGGCACAACACATTGTTTTACGATTGGGCTTTGACGTTTTTTTTCTGCCTTTTGCCATCCCGATGCTCCAAGACGGCCCCAAAGGCTTCCAATACCGCTCCCATCATATAGAGGAAGAGGCCTCCAAGAGGGCCCCCCAAGACGGCCCGCGAGGGCCCCAAGGCGGTGCTTGAGGCGCCCAAGACGGCCCGAGAGGGCCCCAAGAGCCCCAAGAGAGGCCCAAGGGGAACGCGACCCAACAGCAGAGCGGTCCCCCCACAAGGCCCACAGGAGGCCTCAAGAGGCCCCAAAGTGGTCCGACGAGGACCCCCAAAGCTTTCCCAGGAGACGTCCAAGAGGCTTTCAAATAGCCCAAGAGTACCCTCGATGCGTCAAAACTGCTTCCAGGAGGCCCCTGGGAGGCTTCCGGATTGCCTCAATCTGGCCGCAGGTGGCCTCAAGTCGGGCCTCCACGCAGCCAAGACGGCCAATGACGGCTTCAGATTGCAGAACCGATGCCCCCAAGGGACCCTCAGACGCCCCCCCAAGAAGCACCCAAGAGGTGCCTCCAACAGCCAGTTGACGAAGCATGCGGAACACCCCAGAAGATCCTCAGATGCCGTCGCGCGCCTGTGCTTGATAGCGTTGTCCAAGATCGTCCAGCGCCCCCCCGGCCTGGGCTAGAACCTGAGCGCGCGCGAAGCGCGCGCGATGGTTCTAACCCAGGGGCCCGAAAACAGCTGCCCGACCCTCCATGCGAGTACCGGGGCTCATTTTCGCTGTGTTTTCACGGGGGTTCGGCGTCCCGGGCCTCGGAGGCCGCCGCGATGGTCCCGGACATTTTCCAGATCCTCGGCGCGGGCTCCAAGACCATTCCGCAGAGGGCTCCAACAGGCTCCAGGGCAGCCCAAGAGGGCTCCAAGACGGCTCCAGGAACGACTGCAGGGTCTCATTTTTCTTTTGTTTTCTGCAAGACGGCTCCAGGAAGACTGCATGTCTTCTGAGGATGGCTTCCGCCTCTTGCCCCGAGCATCCCAAACTGCCTGATCGGTTCCCACTCGCCTTCCTCAAACCCAGCGCTTGCCCAAGCGCGTTCCAGACGGTCTTCGCCGGAACGCGCTGGAATGATCACGCGCTGCGGTTTCCCATGCCAACGTCCTCGGACGTGGGCGCCCTGCCACGAGCGCGTTCCGGGAAGATGCTCCTGGAACGCGCTGAAAAGATATGGCCACATCTCGGGGACGCTCCCGGCACCGCTGCCCCAGCCTTTCTGGGCAGCCTCCACAGCGCTCCAGGAGGGCCCAAGACGCCCCCTAGGAGCCCCCAGAATGCGAAAGGATGGCCCAAGACGCTCCCGAGCAGCCCAAGTCAGCCTTCCGACGGCTCTCGAGGCTCCCAGGTGGCCTCCAAGAGACCCCAAGAAGTCTGATAGGTATCGCGGTACGGCCCAGAGAGGCCAAAGTCGTATATGTTCAAAGTTCTTTTCAATGTTTTTGGCTTCTCGCGTTTTCGAGCTCCCATCGGTCCAAGAGCGCCGAAAAGCCTCCATGGGGGTACTGGGGCTCATTTTCCCAGTGTTTTTATAAGGGTTTCCGCGTCCTGGGCCTCGGAGGGCGCCGCCTCCGACCCCCCATGGGAGGAGGGGCGGCCGGGGAGGTACATATATATATATATATATATATATATATATATATATATATATATATATATATATATCCCTGGGGGCGAGGCCGGGGGCTCACAAACAGGTGCCCCCACCCCCCATGGCGGGACGGGGGCTCATTTTCCATATGGTTTTACAGGGTTTCCGCGTCCTGGGCCTCGGAGGGCGCCGCCTCCGACCCCCCATGGGCCAGGAGGGCCTCCAGAGGCTCCCAAGACGGCCCAAGCGGGCCCCGAGTCGCCGAAAGACCGCTCCAGGACGCCCAAGATAGGCCCAAGACGGCCCGAGAGGCGCCCCAAGGCACTCCACGACGCTTCAAGACGCCTCTCCAGAGCGCTTCCAGAGGCCGAAATCGTCAATTTTACGAAGGTTTTCGAACGATTTTGGCCTTCCAGCCTTTTCGGCTGTCCGACGTTCCACGACGGCTCAATAGGCCCCCAAGAGCGCCCCAAGACGGCCCAAGAGGGCCCCAAGACGGCCCCAGAGTCGCCCAAGACAGCCCAACAGAGCCCCAAGACGGCCCCAAGATGCGCCCAAGAGGGGGACCACGACTCCCAAATTCGACCCTCCCGCTTGAAGAGTGTCCCAGGAGGCCCCAAGGAGCCCCCAAGAGGCCCCAGGAGGCCCCCAAGAGGCACCCAGGAGGCCCAAACGAGGCCTAAAGAGGCCACAAAGCAGCCCGAGGAGGCCCCACAACGGTCCCAAAACGGCTACCGAGAAGCTGCGAAACTGCCTTCACGACGTCCCCGACAGGCCAACCACGAGATCCAAACCAACACCCATGAGGCCTCTGACCCACCACCCAGGGCACGGTGGCGGGAGCAGTGACAGCACTTGTGCACAGCATGTTCCGGCGGGAGCCTTCCGGAACACGCTGCAGGAGGAGGAAGATCAGGAGGAGAGAGAGAAGTGGAGTGGGAGGAGGAGGAGGAGGGGGACGAGGAGGAGGAAGAGGCCTCCCAGACAGCTCCAAGATAGCCGAAGAGGCTTCCAAGAGGGCCCTGGGCGGCCCACGAGGGCCCCAAGGCGGTGCCTGAGGCGCCCAAGACGGCCCGAGAGGGCCCCAAGACGGCCCCAAGAGAGGCCCAAGAAGGAAAACATGAACCGAGAATCCGAGCTTTCTACCCCGAGAGGTTCTCGCGAAGTCCCAGGAGGCCCCCAATCGGATCCAGGAGGCCCCCAAGAATCTCCCAAGAGGGCCGACGAGGCTCCACGAGATCTCCCAAGGTGGCCCCAAGAGGCAGAACTCATTGTTTTACGATTGGGCTTTGACATTTTTTTTTCCGGCCTTTTGGCATCCCGATGCTCCAAGACGGCCCCAAAGGCTTTACCGCTCCCACATAGAGGAAGAGGCCTCCAAGAGGGCCCCAAGACGGCCCGCGAGGGCCCCAAGACGGTGCTTGAGGCGCCCAAGACGGCCCGAGAGGGCCCCAAGAGCCCCAAGAGAGGCCCGAGAAGGGGAACGCGACCCAACAGCAGAGCGGTCCCCCCACAAGGCCCACAGGAGGCTGCAAGAGGCCCCAAAGTGGTCCGACGAGGACCCCAAAAGCTCCCCGAGGGCCCAAAAGGCCCCTGGGAGACGT